GCTACCGTTACCTGAGATGATGTTATAAATACAAACCACTAGACCCCTCTCTACCAAGTTAACCACAAAATATAGATGTGGTGCTCAGTAAACTGAAGTCCTTGGATGTTGCTGATGCCTATTGAAGCTTCAAGCCACTGTCGTATGCCCACAGAGCACCATTTGGGTTACTTTTACCGTGGAGTTTTTAACATACATTATACAGTTTTAATTTTCAATATTTTAAACCATTTCTGACAAATTATGTATGTCAATTTTATCTACAATGAAGCAATTGTAGCAGGGGTAAGTATCAGGCTAGAAGGACTAGCTAGCCCCACTCAATCTTCTTGGCAAGCTTCAGAACCTCTATAAGACCTGCATTGTCCTTGGGTAAAATTAAACTAAAATAGTAAGATTATACCCAAAACTTGACAGTCTCTGAAATGTAACAAGCATTAAAAGTAAGGTAAATGTATATTTTTGACCAACATTAATGATATATTAGTGACATCATGAATAAATACATGAGCAGTGAAGTTTGTAAATTAAACTCATGAAACTCAAGAGAGGTTCCTCTATTTGACTTTTTGGTTTCCAAAGGAATTTCAAAATTATTTCAGTTCAATAGACCTTCACTATGTAGAGGGTTCTGTTTTGTTTCAGAGAATGTGTGTGAGAATATGCTTGTTCATGTATGTGTAAAAAATGCATGTGTGTGAGTGTGAGTGTGTGTGTGTGTGTGTGTGTGTGTGTGTGTGTGTGTGTGTGTGTGTGTGTGTGTGTATGGAAACTAGAGATTAGCATGAAGTATGTTTTTCAGGAATTTTCCACCTTGTTTTTTGAGACAAGGTCTCTTACTGATCCTGGAGCTCACCGAGTAGGTTAGAGTAGTTGACTAGCAACTTCTAGGCAGTCACCTGCCTCTGCCTCTCCAGAACTGGACTTATGGAAGCTTGCTATCACATATAAAGGTTTTACAAATGGAATTCATGTGCCTGGAAAGTCTCCTATCAACAGAGCTATCTCCCCAGGCCCATCCTAAAGTATCTTTTTAAGTAGAGTGAAGATGTCAGTCTCTAGTTTATGTGTTGGAAAAGGATACTGTTATCTATTAAGTAATACTTTCACATGTAAAATTAATCTGTGCATTCCTCATGATTCTCTACTGGAAAGGAGACATCAGCAAATAAGTATTACAGACATGTTTTACTAGGTTGGCTCATATCATATGAGCAGTGTAGTTCAACAATATCGATGTTAACCATCATTACACTCACTTTGGGCATAAAGTGTCTGTTGTGTCCTCATGCTATTTGAAAAATAATACATTACTATAGGGACACATTTAATTTCAGTTTAAATGTATTACTTAGAAAAAAGTTAAACTCCCTATGTGGCCAACTGTACAAACTCCACTGTGTGCAACTGCAGAGATTAGAATGTCAAACAGAAATTAATCTGCACTATCAGGGTATGTTCTATACCCGTCTCAGTGAAACTTAGGTAATTTCTTGTCAATTATCAGCAAATGAGAGACACTACTTTCCAGCCCCAGTTTATGCTTTCTATATATTAATTTTCAAAAAAGCTGGTCTTTTCTATCTTATTTTCTTTATTTTATTTTTAGAAGTGAGATTTCCAGGTCTCACAAGCTCTCTCTCCTAGTTCATATTTTCAAGATCTTTTTATCATTTGTATTGTTCTCTACTGAATGCAGGGCAATTTGTCTCCTTCCTAAACTGTGGCACTCAGCTGAACTTAGCCTGCAAATTGCAACCTAACAAGACCTGACTGTAGCTCCCTCCATTTTTATGCATGACATCACCATTACAATTCAATACATTGTAGCATTTGAATATTTTAAAAGGGATCAGAATGTCGACTCATTCAATTTATCACCCACTGTAACTCCTGGATTTTTCTCTCTGCTGCCATCATCTCCAGCTACTGACTGCAGTTTTTGTTTCCATTATCTCTCCTTGTGCACCAACATTCACATCTGTTCCATTTTCCTAATTCTAATGTATCTGATTTGCCCATCTGCCCAATGTGTCAAGATGCTGAACAGCATTGCAGCCGCCCCTAAGATCTGCGAAACTTGTATTTCTTGACTCATTGTTCTTTGTGTTTTTATCATAAATATACATCTTCCAACACATTTCCCGTATTAATTCATGTGGCTTCCAGTGCTTCGCGCTTTGATAATTTCTTGTAAAAATCAATCCTTTTAAGGTTCCTGCTAAACAATCAAACAAAGGCAGGAGTTGGGGGAGGGTGATAAATCTGACTAAGTAAATCAAGCCTGCTCTTTAATTTATTGTTAAATTAAGAAAGTTAAACTTAGCACCAACTATCAACTATCCTTTGTGGTGGTGTTCTATTACTAAGCTGTCATATGAAGAACCGAGTTAAAACCTCTGATTTTTCACATACAGTAGCTGGGTGGGTATCATGTATCCTTGCTTCAGTAGACCACTGGTGGGCATCCCAGAGCTGGTTAAGCAAACCTTAGTAAACAGAATAAGTTCTACTTAGCAAAACTGCAGGTCCCAATACGATTTTAAGCAAAGCAGGGAACATAAAAGTAATGAAGAAAAGCAACAAAAGAATCATAAAGTGTTTGGCATAAATTCAATCACTTTTACCATGAATAAAGGCACGACTAGCAAACCAAAATGAGCTGACAAATTATGCATAAACTTTCATTTATAAGGGAATTATGGGAGTAGTAGATGACAAAAGCTTGCAAGCGAAAAAAAATACTGTATTTGTTAAACTAGCTAGCAGCCTGTATGTGCCACCTGGGCTCCCATCCTCCTGCCTTACACTCTGGCCCTGCCCTGAGTCACTGCTGCCTCTAGTCCAAGCCAGTCTCACTAACATAGTCTTACTCATTTCCCAGGGGAGAGAAAGAACTTCTCCCAAGCAGGAACCTCTTCCTCTCCCCATCTCCTGTGCTCACAATATTTTTTTAGAAAATTGAACTCTAAATTTATAGAACACCACAGTCACACTATATTATTATTAGAACTAGGCATTATTAATTTTGAGGTCACCTCCTGTATTTGCTTTTCAGCTACCAGCCTACACAAAGGCTTGCTTAATTAGAGTGTGTAAAGTAAATGAATCGTTTTAAAATTAGAGCCTTTTTAATAATTATACTTTTGAAACATAGATGCTAAACCTGAATGCTCTTTGGGAAATTATGATAACAGAGTGTTGTGAGCCAAATTGTAATAAAATGGTAAGAAAATATATTTACATGAATAAGTTCATTGAAAGATTAAAAATTAGCATCTCTAAGAAAGGGCATGTGTTTGTAGTTTGTAGCTAATAAATAAATAAATGTATCAAAAGGAAACAATGCAAAAATAAAAGATAAGTAAGTAGAGGTTGTAATTTTTAAATATTACTGTTGTTCATCTTTTTTCTCTCTTATGTATATATGACACATGTCCTAATTTTACATTTTATATTATGGATAAGAATTATTGTGTTCTAATTGCATGTTATAGAATTGAAAGAGGTGGTAACAACAGGGAAAGAGGTCTTATAATGTTTTCAGTTCTAATATACTAGTTTTCAGAAGACCTATCACGAAGGATAATAAGTGCTAACATCGGGAAAATCTTAAAAATGCTGACACTTTAGTCCTAGGAAAGACAGATGACATTTAGTCATTGACTTAAATACATGATGGATCAATTGACACCTGGGTGATAGAATTCTTTTCTCCTTAACTCAGGATAGGACCAGCAACAATTCATTGAAAGGGCAAGTGGGAAACTGTTACAGAAAGTGAGAAACATTAAAAAATTACTAAACATTACAGTGAAGGATTTTCCTCATCACCTTACCTTTAAAGAGGCTTGCTATTCTTTGATTTGGACTCAGTGAGACATTAAATTTAAATGTGAAATTGTTACTGGGGCAATCATTAATTTTTCACCCCAAAGCAAGTAATAGTGCCGGTAGTTCTATATGTTTATCTGTGAGGTCTTCACTCTCACCACCTACATCAGAGATAAGCCTCTTGTGACTCACAAAACATCATCCTCTATGCAGATTGCCTGGTAGCTCCTCTTCCCTTCCCATGAGACTGTAGATAATCATGGAAGACAGAAAGTAGAGAAAAATGGAACCAACCATATATATATATATATATATATATATATATATATATATATATATATATATACACATACATACATACATATATATATACATATATATATGTGTGTGTACATATATAACTTTATATGTACATAAAATGTATTTATAGATGATATAATATATATTTTATATATACACACATATATATATAAATAAAACAGGAGAATTAAGACTCCTAGAAATACAAAGAAGTGTCTTTATATCTGTAAGCTGTGAGTGTATGTGTGTGTGTAGTCTATAAGACATATATAGGTATATCTATCATTCTCATTAAAATGGCATGTAATAGAAGGCTTTTTTCTTAAAAATATTTTATTAAATCATTTTAATTATCCATTTTGTATTAAAATTATGCATCATAAAATTCTAAGATAAGATACAAGCTCAAGGTCACTGCCATGTGGCACCCAAAGAGCAAAGGTCTTGATCGTAACCTTTTTGTTTTTTTGTTTTTCACTTGAAAATTGGTTCTGCTGCTTTGTTGATAATATATCCTGAGAATTGTGAATAAATGTTTCAACCTTTGTGAAAACCTTGAAGAGTTTAAATTGAATTTAATTGTTTTTCTTATAAGAAAGCTACCAGACTTAATACATGCTGACACCTCCCATATATGAAGAATGAGGGTACACACAAGGTAAGTTAGCCTAAAACCTGCGGTAACCTTCCCAGGATGAGTGTGGTATTGCTCCCAGGCTGCCGCCTCACACACGGTGAAGCTGAGACAAAGAGCCGCTGTGTAATTTTCTTGTCTTGCTTTTCTCCGGCTGATGAGAGGAATGTGTCCACCTCGATTGGAAACATCATGAAATGCTACGGGAAGTACAGGACATGCTCTGACTCACCTGTTCCTGTTGCTGGAAATCCAATCTGAAATAAGCGTTGATGCCTGCTGGTGACAGTGCTTGTTCCCGAAGCTGCATGCCAACATTATCACTTCTCTCCGTAGTTCTCTACACATTGTCGGAAGGGGAAAAAAAATTAAAAGAAATGTTACTCTCAAGAGACAGTCATAGAGTTTCACTCGGGTGAATGGACGGGTGATTGGATGGTTGCATATAGACAGATGATAGATATGTAGGAGAGGCACAGAGAATGCTAGCTCAGATATGATGGTTTATCTCCATTGTCAATTGAACTGGATTTAGAATTACCATGGAGACATATCTCTGACTATATCTGTAGCTCCAGAGATACTTTGCTGAAGAAGCAAGACCCATTGTGAATATACATGGCACCATTCCATTAGCAGGGCTCTAGACCTTACTCAGGGAAAAGGGAGATGCTAGTGGATTTCGTCGCTCCATCTCTCTTTGCTTCTGGACTGTGGACACAACACCATCAGCCACCTCGCTCTCCCACCATCATACATTGTGTCATATGGAATGTATCCTGATAAACCAAGGATCAAAATGCACCCTATTTATTTATTTATTTATTTATTTATTTATTTATTTATTTATTTTGGCTTTTCGAGATAGTGTTTCTCTGTGTGCCTCTGGCTATCCTGGGCTCACTTTGTAGACCAGGCTGGCCTCGAAGTCACAGAGATCCATCTGCCTCTGCCTACCAAGTGCTGGTATTAAAGGGTATGCCACCACGCCCAGCGTAAACCCTAATTTTAAAGAGTACCAAAATATTACAGATGGTTGTGAGCCACCATGTGGTAGCGGGGAATTGAACTCAGGATGTCTAGAAGGGCAGCTAGTGCTCTTAACCTCTGAGTCATCTCTCCAGCCCTGAGTACCACAACATATATGAGCTCACAGAGGCTGTTCCATTGTTTATAAGACCTTCACAGTTTCCAGTCACACAAAATCCCAGCACTGAGAAGTGAAAGTGAACACACAATTTTATCCCAACCCTAGAGCTTTTGCCATTGGTACCCCCTAAGGAAGGGAAAATCCATTTTCTCCAATCGAGTGTCACTGAGTATATAAACCATAGTCCAGGATCGAGCCCATGCCCAGGAATATTTGCCTGTCATCATACTGATTCCATTTTTTGTTTTGTTTTGTTTTTTGTTTTATGGCTTTTTACTTTGTTTCATTCGGTATTTTTATTTTTTTGTCTTATTGGGTTTTATTTGCTTGTTTTTCATTTTGTTTTGATTTGGCTTTTTGGAGACAGATGAGAAAGGACTTGAAGTTGGGTAGGTAGGAAAGTGGGGAGGAAGAAAACATGATCAAAATATACTGTATGAAAATAAACTTTGTTTCCTTTATCAAGTATTTTGTTATAGCATTGAGAGAAGTAAATAATATGGTAGATAAGTAAAATAATAATGCAGAGATACGTTTAGATACAGAAATCCTATACTGCTGAGTAAAGAAAATGAATTAGGCTGAATGGGAGATAAACACACTAAGTCTTTACTGGAGCTAGTCCTGTAGTCAAGGGCATGGGGTTCTGCTCCCAAGATCACAACACAGGCAGATCTTGAATTAAAATACAGTCATGAACTGCTTTGTTCTCAAGATCAGGCAGCAAAAGAACTTGGTTGCTCAGCTGCTGTCCTCGCAGGAAAGTGAAATGCAAAATGCAGAATGAGGGAAAGGCAGCCTCATGCTGCTAAAGTCAGAGTGCTACTAGAAGTGTGTTTTCGCACAGCTCTGGGGAAAGAGGAGAACAATAAAATAAAACAGTACTCATGTTGGTACGATGCTTGAACGAGAGATCCATTGAAGTTGTTTTTTGGCCATCCGAGCTTGATATACGTTGTTGCAACTTGTTTTAAAATATACTCCTACATGGAGAGTGAGAGAAAACAAGATAATCAGTTTAATCTCCCCAAATTTGGCAATCTAAAAATTAAGTCTGGGTTATTCAGAGTAATGTTCTCTTACACTTTTATTCCATTTACTATTTAAGACATAGAAGACATTATTCTCTTCTGCTAACTGAATAATTTGCAGTGCTAAATATTTTACACGACAAATTTTAATAAAGTGAGGGAAATGGGGACTATTCAGGATGAGATTTATGTATACATATGTGTAACCATAAGCAGCTACACATTAAAAAAATAAGCATCTAATTGTGTGTGCCTATGTGAGTAGATGCCACATATGTACAGGCACCTATAGGAGCCAGAAAAGGACAATTGATCTGTTGTAGCTGGAGTTATGGTTGATCATGATCTGCCGAACACAGGTGCTAATAATTGAACTGGGGTCCTCTGGAAGAGCAGCAAGCATTTCCAATCTCTGAGCTATATTCTTCACTGAAATATCTAATATTTGTGCATTTGATTCAATGCAAAGCTATTATACAGGCCCAGTCAACAGACTAGTATTGTGGAAGAGAAGACATACATAACACTTACATACTGTGATATAGTATCACAAATTTAAAAATCTATTCAACTAATGATGCATTTAAATATCAATGCCAATGTAAGATATACTCTCCCACACTTTACTGTTAATCTTAGAACTTTGTCTAAGGAATGAAAGTGCTAAAATTACAGCAAGAACGTCTCTTAACTTTTACTATAAGAGGAATCTAACATGATATACTATTCAATAGTATAAACATACACAAGAATGTATTTTGCCTTTTTAAGAGTTTCATAGTTCAGCATCTCTTTGTTAGACTTTCTCCAGCAGACAAACATTATCTCCTAACTCAAATGACACATTTCTCTGCTTGTCTGTTGCTAAGGGCTTATGCAAAACTAACAACAATGAACAGCCAAGCCATGATTATTCTCATTTAAAAAAAAGTAAATTGACAGTCACTTTCATGAAGCCTTGGGGTAAGAAAAAAGGAGGCAACTGTGAACATCAGACAACCTAGATGGTTCTAAAAACATATCAAATCACTGACAATCCATCCTCGAATAATTTCGATTGTGTATGTTAATTTGCAGAGTCATTATGTCATGAGGCACAGAATAATTTCATAAAGCACAGTACAGGTTCTTAAAATAGCTAAAGAAAACTGTATAGGGCATTAAAGTCACCATGATAAGAAATCAAGGAATCAAAAGCTCATTAGCTGTACTTAATCCTGATATTAATCAAAATGATCGTTGAATCCAAATAGGCGCTGTTGGTAGTACAATTTTGGTTTCCTGGGATTTGAGCCTAAAAAACCTGGTCAGGTACCATTTTGGAATGTGTGTCATGCTCCTTGTCTGCCTGGATTATCTGTTGTTTGCTGCCCTGTATCCCCTTGGACCCAATTATGAATGGGCTTTGGCCTCAATGTTGATCTTATCCTTGTTAATTAAGGAGGTGCATTGGATTCACCATGCCCTTTTGGATAAAAATAATGACTAGGACTCTTTACTGAAACTATCTATATTCTGTTAAGTTTTCTGGGATCCCTCTACTCAGGTTAAGTCCTTTGTGAACACAGAGCCCTTTAGCTCTCAGGAAGTAAGTTTGAACTTTATGGATTTGCCATGTACGTTCTTTCTTAAATTCTCAAGCACTTAAGCTTAATTGACACTTTTAGGCCAGAATAAAAGGTAGCTTGTGTTAAATTTCTTTTTTCAAATAACTGCCATCAGTATTGCACAGAAAATCAGGACAAAAATAGCAGCCTAAACTAGCAGGAGGAAATGAAATAATTCAAATTCAGTTGCATCAAGTGTATGATGAGAAAATAGTTTATCTTCTGAAAATTAGAAAGAAAAAATTATATATTTTTACGTTGAAGACATTGTAGTTCTCCATGCGGTCCAGTAATTTATCCAGAGGATAAAGAGCTCGGCTGGCAGCATGCCAAGGAAGAAAATCCTTTTCCTCAGACAGGTATCTGATAATCTCCAGGGGAATATTCTGAGGCAAATAGCCTGCCCTGCACAGTCAAAAGAAAGTTAATGTTAATTAGATGCAGAAAAGATACACAATGATGTAAAAATGAAGATTTTATTTATGCAAATAAAAGACAGAAAGCAAGATTCATCACAGTCTGCAGAAAGGACACACAGTGATATGAAAATAAAATTACTCACTTTTAAAAACAGTGCTTGTTAGGATGCCAGAGCCACTTAATTTATACAGAGGCAGAGAGTTTGAATTTTATAAGAATATGAACACATGAGAATGTGTTTTTGCAAAGGAGAGAACCAGGGAAATTTAACTGAGCCAATAGGTATTTCTTTGACAGAAACTCCAAGGATACCAAGTAATTGAAAGTAATTGAATGCTTTCTGGTGGTGTTTGTAGTTCTATGTAATGACTTTTAGTTCACAGTGTTATCTAAAGGATGACTAAATTAAAGTCATATCAATATGTTTTAAATGTGTATGCTATATACCAATATAAACATTTTTAATTGTATATGTTGTGTATGTGTGTGTCTTAGGGTTTCTATTGCTGCAATGAAACACCATGACCAAAAAGCAAGGTGGGGAGGAAAGGGTTTCTTTGGCTTACACTTGAGCATTACTGTTCATCACTGAAGGAATCAGGACAGGAACTCAAAGAGGGAAGGATCCTGGAGGCAGGAGCTGATGCAGAGGCCATGGAGGGGTGCAGCTTACTGGCTTGTTTCCCATGGTTCACTCATCCCACTTCTTACAGAGCCCAGGACCACCAGTCCAGGGATGGCATCACCCACCATAGGCTGGGCCCTTCTCCCATTGACCATTAAATGAGAAAATGCCTTACAGCTGGATCTCAAGGAGGCATTTCCTCAACTGAGGCTCTTTGCTCTGATGACTCTAGCTTGTGTCAAGGTGACATACCAAAGCAGCCAGTATGTTTGCACATACTGGAGTGTGCTATGTTATTGCAGGTGTGTGCATGCCACAGTGTACATGTGGAGGTTAGGGGACACCTTTGAGCATCAGTCCTCATCTTCTACTTTGTTTGAGACCAGGTCTCTCTTGCTCATCTCTGCAAATGCCAAGCCAGTTGGTCCATGAGTTTGCAGCAAACCTGCCTCTGCTCCTTTCCTCTCAGAGGTACATTCTGGGATAACAGACAGGTACTGCAGCATCAATCTTTTTGGTTAAAGAGGAGGATGCCAACAGAGGCTAGAACAGGGCATTGGGTTCTCTGGAACTGAAGTTACAGATGGTTGTAAACTACCATGTGGGTGCTGGGAATTAAACAAGGATCCTGTGGAAGAGCAGCCAGTGCTCTTAACCATTGAGCCATCTCTGTAGCCCCTCATTGTTTTGTTTTGTTTTGGTATTTTCTTGATTTCTGGATTTTTTTTTTGTAAAAAATCTTTTTATTTGTGCACAATAGAAGGTGGTCAAGGTGGAAGCAAGTTTATCATTTTTATTTATACATTTTTTTCATAATACTTAGTAAAATTAGGCTATCAGTAAATATCGGTGAATATTGTCTTACTGCTGTGTTTATACTGTTGGCAATAAAAAACAATCCTGAATGTTGCCCTTTAATTTTTCTTGAAAGGACGTAAAACACTGTGTGTCATTCTAAAGATTTTGATTTAGCTATGATACACAATCAATCATAGCTAATGTAAATAACCCTAATTTGAGACCTTTTCATTCAGCAAATGATGGTTTAGAACACATTTAAGTGACATTGTTCACATTTTATATTTCCATGTATAAAAAACACCAAATTACCTAGGATGGTGTAAATAAGCAAATTTATCATTTAGCTGGGATTCTCTTTCAATAATAGCTAAATTTTGCTTTCATGGGTTTGTTGCAATTAAAGAAGAATATCATTTTAATAACATGGTATGATTTAAATTAAATATCATTTTCAAAAGAAATTTTCCCTGTTCTTGTTGGTCAGAGGACTACTACCCAAACAAGGCAGAATGTTGCCATTGCCCTGGTTTCCTTAACTTAAAGGTAAGAAAGAGCCTTTGGTGAAGACAACATACATTTCTGGCACAGGACTTAAAGTATTCAGGCTGGAACTGCTGACCAAGGACTAGTTCTCACAGTATCACAATGGGACATACAAGTTTCCAATGGAGAAGGATAGTCAGCAGTCCTACTAAACTGTAAATTCCATGAACCAAAACAATGACTGAGCTGGCAAAGAATCCACAATGGTGGAATAGACATACTTTTAGTTTGGGTGGTAACCAATAGCTGTCTAGTTGGATTGACATCCCACTCAGTAGGAGGGAACTCATGACTGGTACTGTGAAACTGAGCCAACTACCTACAGCTGGAGATGTCATAGACCTGACATGTCTTATGACAAATATGATTCCTGTAAAAATGATGACAAATGATGATATAGAAATAGACATGCAAGGGAAAAGGCACTTAGATATGATTCTACTATTAATGTTTTCTGTAAAATTAGGTAAATATTTCCCATTTTTTTGTCTATAACAAAGCTAAACTAAGAAATAGCATTTTTGGTCCTTTAATTCTAACTTATATAATCTACAACTTAAACTGCTAAAAAACAATTATAACTTTGAAAACTTGAAAAAGTTTTCAAAAAAGTTCATATATATTTCATTCTTCAGCTGCTAGTATATGGAAGTCTAAGAGGCAAGACTCAGATCCAGGTATTTAAAGACATCTGGCATTCTGCGACAGAGGAAGAAAAGTCAGGCTAGCCTGGTATATGTCCCACATAACACTAAGGCAAGGAAAATAATCATTACATAAAGAAATAGAGCAAGCTCTGTTTTGAGGCCTTATGGAAGAAATTGCTACCATGCAGCTAAGTCCCAGCTTTCTGTTTCTTCTTTATACACATCACAAACTGAATTCCTGATAGTTAGGCATAGCCATGTGACAAAGATCTAATAACAGAGTACGAATGTGAGTTTCTGCCAGAGTTAATGTGATTACATATATATATATATATATATATATATATATATATATATATATATATAAAATCCATCTGGAACCCCAGAGAATTGTATGGCAAATCCACTAGTCTATCCTAGATCTATTTTGCCAATGGAAAATAAGTACCATTTTATTCAATCCACAAACATTCTTGGATCTATTTTTTAAAAGCAGATAACCTTCTCTAATGCAGTTTTCAAAGAGAATATGAAACAGATTACACTCAAATTACCCTCATTTTCCCTCACTACCAACATATGTAAGTAATTACTTACTACATAATTCAACATACTTGCATTTAAATCTACTAGGTCAAAATATGCAGCTACCCTTAATTGTCCAAGGGGATGATCAGTTTCATTACAAAATGACAAATAGTGGGAGATAATGTTGGTTACCTAGCTTAGATGTGTTTGTGTAATTGGCTGGTAATGATGTTGGTAATTACTACTACTGATAATAAAATCAATATAGGAAGAGTGTGGATTCCAGTGAACGGAGCACCACAATAGCCTGAAGTGTTCAACACCATAGGGAACAAGCAAAGGTCCTGATGTTGAAATGCATTTTCCTTAAATTCACATCACTGGGGGTAAGTGTTGCTGGCAACATGAAAGAATAGCCCTTTTTCAGAATATTTCACATGTAATTGTGTTTACTAATGTCTTTTTTTATTAAGAAAATGTTTTCATTCATTTTACACACTAAAGATTCCCATCTTCTCTCCTCCCGACCTACCAGCCTCTGCCTCCCAACCCACCCCCCACTCCCACTATAAGGCAAGGCCGCCCATGGGGAGAAACGTTCAGTAGAGGCAAGTCCAAGATTCTTTCCCTTCCTCAAGGCTGCAAGAGGAGTCCCATCGTAGGTAGTGGGCTCCACAAAGCCCACTCATGCACTAGATGGATTCTGATCCTACCGCCAGGGGGCCTCCCAAGCAGATCAAGCTACACAACTGTCTTGCCATGCAGAGGGCCTAGTCCAGTCCCATGCAGGCTCCACAGCCATTGATCCAACTTTCATGAGGTTGCTCTAGTTGGGTTTGTATCATCCCTGCATGTTTCCCCATCATGATCCCAATGCACTTGCTCATAGAATCCTTCTTCTCTCTCTTTGATTGGACTCCTGGAGCTCTGTCTAGTGTTTGGTTGTGGATCTCTCCATCTGCTTCCATCAGTCACTGGAGAAAAGGTCTATGATGACAGTTAGGAAAAAGACATGGCTGTCTGCTCTCTCCATATTTATTCAATAGAGTACTTGAAGTTCTAGCTAGAGCAATAAGACAGCAAAAGGAGATCAAGGGATACAAATTGGAAAGGAAGTCAAACTTTCACTATTTGCAGATGATATGATAGTATACATAAGTGACCCCAAAAATTCTACCAGGGAACTCCTACAGCTGATAAACATCTTCAGTAATGTGGCAGGATACCAGATTAACTCAAAAAAATCAGTAGCTCTCCTATATACAAATGATAAATGGGCTGAGAAAGAAATCAGAGAAACATCACCCTTTAAATAGCCACAAATAATATAAAATACCTTGGGGTAACTCTAACTAAGCAAGTGAAGGACCTGTATGATGAGAACTTGAAGTCTCTGAAGACAGAAATTGAAGAAGATGTCAGAAAATGGAAAGATCTCCCACGCTCATGGATAGGAAGGATTAACATAGTAAAACTGGCAATCTTGCCAAAAGCAATCTACAGATTCAATGCAATCCCCATCAAAATCCAAACACAATTCTTCACAGACCCAGAAAGAACAATACTCAACTTCATTTGGAAAAGCAAAAAACCTTGGGTAGCTAAAAGAATCCTGTACAACAAAACCACCTCTTGACGCATCACCATCCCTGACATCAAGCTCTATTATAGAGCTATAGTAATAAAAACAGCTTGGTATTGGCATAAAAACCAACATGTGGACCAATGGAATTGAACTGAAGACCCTGACATTAATTCACACACCTATGATTTTTGACAAAAAATCCAAAACTGTACAATGGAAAAAAGAAAGCATCTTCAACAAATGGTGCTGGCATAAC